AACAGCTTACACCATGTACTGTACCAGACCATAAGATGTGTGGTTTGACTCTGCACTATAATCTCTATATAACCATAAGGACAGTTTTCTGCCTGCCTCAGACACAGCACAGCTGAATAGCAGCTAAGGGCCTGGATCTACAACTGCGGAATCCCAGGAGCGAACTTCATAACAGCTTCCTGACAATAAAGTTACCACTCTGAAGCTATAATCAAAGGTCCTAGCCAGAGCATTTTAAGTCAATAAACTAAATCATACCAAGGTAAAGCAGATAGGCAAGATATCAAAATATAAACGGCTTTATGAGCTCTGGCTTAGGTGTTCAATTTATTAAAACCTTGTGATTTTTTTTCTCCTTTGGAATAATTAAGGTTTTAAGGATATAAATCTAACTATGCATACAAAACCGAGAAAATGTTCAGGCTAAATATACACAGTGATAGTTTATATGATTAATATAATGAGAGGAAGTTATCATAGTTTATTTCTGTGTATGTGGGTATATATGTATTTTGCTGTCCTCTACTGGGGATAAAAGGAATGATCTACAGCTCCATCTCAATTGAAAATCTCTTCATGATGGAAATGAAATAATTACCTGGTAAAGTTCTAAGAACCAAGGATAAAATACAGTTGATATAAATACAGTTAATAGAATAAAATACAGATAAAATAACTAAAGATTATAAACCCCAGGGGTTTGCTGATTTTTCCCCCCTAAATTGTTCCCACTTTACGTTTTAGACCAGGATGAATCAAAATCTGGTCAAGAGAGCCTTTACTGAGAATTGTTGTTACCCTTAAGACTGAGAGTTTCATTCCTAATGGCAATGAATCAAATTAACTTTATCAGTGTTAGTTGCATAAATATAAAATGTTTTGAATAAGTTTTTTAAATATTTCATCTCAAAATTTGCTAACCTCACATTTTCTGTGTGGCTCTGGTAGATGATCAGACTTTATTCTATGGATTAATATTTTGTTTTATCTCATTGAATCCTCATAATCCTAATCCTTACTATTAGGTAAGTACTATTAATATTCCTTATTTAATATATGAAGAGACTTAGGCACAAAAAGATAAATACATTTTCTGAAGGCTCCTACTGGAACAAAACAGTGGGAATTTGAACACAGGCAACCTCACTATGGAAGCCATGCCCCTGTACCTACGCTAAAAGGCCTTGCATGTAAGATGCTGGTACACCATTATGGTCAAAATGTATTTGCAGGACAAAACCATTCACCTTTTCATTCTTAAACATCAGTGTTTTATGAGTTAGTCTCGAATTTGTACAAGGCAAAAATATGTTAGGACATATATACCATGATAAATTACAGAAATATTTCATTTTGAGTTACCAATTTTAAAAGCAGATACTGAAAGTAAATACGATTTATATTCCCTAGTGATTCCTCTGTGCATTAGTGGATAATCGAGTCTCGGAGACAGAGTTTTGGGTGAAGTAGAAAGGAATAGCTTTATTGCTTTGCCAGGCAAAGGGGGACACAACAGGATCACGCCCTGAAAACCTATGTGTCCCAACCTGGGAGGATTTGGTGAGGAGCTTTATAGCAATGATTCAAAGGTGGGGTTGCTGATAAGATTAGGGTGTGTACAGGCCCTGCACTCCTTTAATCTGGCCAGGTGATCTCCTAATCTTGATGAGATTCTCTGGTTCCTTTAATCTGGCCTCAGGTGGTTTCTTGGCTGCTCTTCCCTTGTCTCTGTATCCCCCTCCCTTTCCTGATTAGCAACTGCTTGAATCTGCCCTTTGAGACTCAGGGAAGGTTGTGGAGGCTGGAAGCTGTTCCGTACAAACAAGAAACAAGGAAGAAGGAACACGGAAAGGCTTCCGTGCCCAGAAGCCCCACTGGGTTCCACTCGGTTTCACTAGTTTTTGTTCTGTTCTCCAGGCCTTTTCTAATCCCCTAGACTTTGTTCATTTTTATTCGCTTGACATGACTTGGTGGGCTGCTAATGCCTCCTGGCCTTTCAAATCTCAGTTTATAACTATTGCTTTAGGGAAGCTTTCCCCACACTCATCTGTTTTATGACTTGGGCTCCCACACAAAACACCACACATGGGGTGGCCTACACAAGAGAAATGGATTTGCTTTTAGTTCTAGAGGCCAGAAGTGCAAGATCAGGGTGGGTGATCTTCCTGGCTCTTTTTTTTTTTAATGCAATTTTAAAAAATTGAAGTATAGTTGATTTGCAATGTTGTGTTAGTTTCAGGTGTACAGTAAAGTGATTCAGCTATACATATGAATCTATTCTTTTTCAGATTCTTTTCCATTATAGGTTATTACAGGATATTGAATATAGTTCCCTGTATGATACAGGACAGCCTTGTTTATTATCTATTTCATATACAGTCATATGTGTATATGTTACTCCCAAACTCCTAATTTATCCCTCCCCCCCACCTTTCCACTTTGGTAACTATAAGTTTGTTTTCTATGTCTGTGAATCCATTTCTCTTTTGAAATAAGTTCATTTGTATCATTTTTATCTTTCTCTGTCTGGCTTACTTCACTTAGTATGATAATTCCTGGCTCTTAAATCATCACCTTATCACTGTGTGCTCACGTGGTCTTTTGTCATATGTGTGCATGTGGAGAAAGAGGGATTTCCCTCTTCCTCCCTTTATAAAGCCACCAATCATATAGGATTAAAACGCCATCCATACAACCTTATTTAACCTTAATCACAGTCTAAAAGCCCTACCTCCAAACAGGATCCCATGAGGGTTAAGGCTTCAATATATGAATTTGGGAGGAACACAATTTAGTCCATAGCATCACCCTATACATTTCTATAGCACTTTCTCCTTTCTTAGAATGTATAGCAATCACCTGTTTTCCTACCTGTGCCTCATTAGACATGAGTGTCCTCAGGCCAGACCACATGACTATGTCACCATTGTATCCCTGGCCCAGTCCCAGGCATTACACGGCCATGTGAAACAGAGCAGGACCTTGTGGGGCTCCTGGGCATGGAAGCCTTTCTGTCCCCCATCTCTTGTTTGTAGGGAATAGACTCCAGCCTCCATGACTTTCCCTGAGTTCCAAAGGGCAGGTTCAAACAGTTGCTAATCAGGGAAGGGAAGGGGATGCAGAGACAAGGGAGGAGCAGTCAAGAAACAATAGTGCAGCCTTGGGGCAGGGCCACCTTAAGAGATACACATAACAATGTCTTTGAGCTCTTTACAGAACAAAAACTCCCAATAAATGGGATATGTCAGCATTCTTCATTCCACAGAAGGCCAGATTAAAGGAACCAGAGAAGCTCATCAAGAGGCCAGATGAAAGGAGTGCAGGGCCTGCACACACCCTAATCTTATCAGCAACCCCACCTTTGAATCATTGCTATAAAACTCCTCACTAAATCCTCCCAAGTTGGGACACATAGTTTTTTAGGGCGTGAGCCTGTTGTGTCCACCTTTGCCTGGTAAAGCAATAAAGCTATTTTTTTCTACTTCACCCAAAACTCTGTCTCTGAGATTCGATTTGGCACCGGCGCATAGAGACCAAGTTTTCATCATAACATGTGCTCAAAGCTGGTCGAATGAACAAGGGGCAGAAGGAAGTTCCTATTCTGCCCCTTCACCAGGTCTACCAGGAAATGCTATAATTACCAGGAGTAGGTTGGTCAGGTCTAACAAATATCTGGGGCTTTGCTGGAGACAGAACATCAAAACAAGCCTTAAGCTAATTCAGCTGCTTAATGTATGGGCTTCAGTCGCCTCCAAGGTTCTCATCAAAGTCACAGAAGGACACGTCATCAGTTAAGCTAAACTCTGATTACCAGCTATTCCTAGGCCAGGAAGCAGACGCTGTACCCATCCAGGTGAGTAGCACGCAACCCAATTTCTAAGTTCTTATTTCATATGAATCAGTGATTTAAAAATAAGGTAAATAATTTAATAAATTATACCCATTGAATAAATGACCATGTCAAATGGATAATATACTCAAGAATCAGTTAAAATTAGGTATAAAAAAAGACACTGCATTCAGGCCTGTACAAAACTTTATTGTACTTTGAATAATAAGCAAAGTAACAAAATTTAGAGCATGATAAAGGATGGAATATCTCAAATTATGTTCCTTACAAAAGCATTAAGTACAGTACACAAAGACTGTTTATAATATTTTAAAGTCTGCTAAAAATATCAAGACATCCTAGGATTTGTGGAGTTACCTTTCCTGTCAACTAGAGCATTGATTCCCACTAGCTTTGCTACAATAAAAGTTAACATATATGAATGTACACATGTAATAACTGAAATGGAAAATGAAGGCATGCAACAAACATTCCAATTACTAAGCAAGTATGAAGAAGAAAGTCTTTTTGGTATTTCTGAACTTACAATTCCTTTGAACATATCGACCAGGTCCAGTGAAACTTTTTTTCCAGAATGTTCAGAGGTGATATTCAAAACACCAAACAACCAGCAGTCCATCACCACTGTCTGGTAAGCACAGACACTGGAGTAAGTGCTGGTATGGCAATACGGTCTGTTCCCAAACTGAATATCAGCCCTGATCTCATCTCCCATGTCCAGATGCACGTTTGAACTAATGTAGAAGTGTGAGCTATGAGCTATGAAACATGAAATTCACACAGACAGGAAGTTGAACTCAAATACTCTGCTGCATGGAGGCTGAATGTGAAATTTTTCACAGTGACTGAAATTGACTGGCTGACAGGCAATGGTGGTGTTTTATATTTGACTTTGATTAAAATGAATGGACTTACAAGAAACCCTTGAGATTTAGTTAATGCTACTAATCTAAAGGCTCTGAAGAACTGAGGAGCCTTTGAAATCAGTATATGTGACCTTTTCTATATTTTTCCTTAAGGAAAGAAACAATAATAAAAACACCGAGGTACATGAGTTTCTTTTCAAGGGATTACTGTTGTTATCTTCCTGAGATGCAAAGACCACAAAAGAAGAGCACCATGCCTAGGCTGCTGAATGAGGCATCAGACACTAATAGTTTGGTCCTTTTCTAAAGGGATCTCTTCTGACAATGACACTAAAACACAGTGATGGATCACAGATGCCCGGGGGTCCTGGCTGCCCTTGGATTCCAGGTTTTCCGTGGTCTCCGTCTTTGCCGGGGAGACCTGGGTCTCCTGGAGGACCTTCTTTGCTTATTCCAGGGGGGCCCTCTGGACCTAGGATGGGACATTAGCAATACATGAACAGAGGAGTTTGGTTTTGTTGCTGACACAGCTGAATCTGCAAAACATGTAAACTGGTAAAAAGACTCCCTTGAAACTTTTACGTATTTGCACTAAGGTGAAAAGAGGAGGTATCCTCTTGCTAATTCTATACACCTTCCATTTTGAAAAGAACTATCCAAAAGTAATTTTTGTAAAACTAGGCCAAGCTATGTTAATATGTAATCATGCTGCTGCTGAAGACACAGAGCTAACATTCTAATATTTCAATTTGTGGATGGTCCAAACTATTTCTTCCTCTCAGCTTATCTTTTGCCAATATTATTATAAATTAGTAGGTAATATATCAGTAAGCTAAAACTCTTAAAGCCACTTTTGTGCCATATTTGTAGTCAAAATAACTATTTCCACTATATACATATATATATATATATATATATATATATGTATATATTTTAGTTTCCACAATGGAATACATTGTCATTACCGTAGTATACTAGTAATCAATACACAGAGGTATTATAACACTAATTTTTGAACCATAACTTAGTTCAGTTAGCATGTTCAAAAAAAGAAAAATTAACTCAAGATATTGACCTTTTAAAGTTGATGACCCAAAATAACAAAAACAAAATGTTTAGGTTTGGGGATGGAGCAGAGTGGACTGGGGCACTTTCCACCACTAATACTTCCTGCTACTACTACTAATAAACATTTATTCAGCACTAAACTACAATTGTAGGTATTGTTCAAAATGCTTTACATACAAAGTATTAAGTCATTTGATCCACCCAAAAGCCTCGAGCAGTAATAATATCTAAAATAATAATGATAGTACACATTTACTGAAAACATAACTTTTTCATGCACTGTTCTGATAGCACGACATGTATTAATTCATTTAATCTTCTACCAATGTCATGACGCAAAAGACATCTCATCACTAATTTACAAATGAGGAAACTGACACACGGAGAAGTTAAATAACGCAGCTAGCAGAGGCTGGCTTACAAGTCCATCTCAGCATTATTCTGCTTCCCTGAGAATCATAAAGATTAAACAGTGATATACACTAGGTAAGCCTGGGCGACTTGGAACCATCTGAGAACTATTCTAAGGAGTGGTATTCTAACGAGTCTAAATGATAAGTGAGAGAGAATCCTGAATGATTAATGGATATAATATAGGATAAAACTTCTAATAGTTAGAGCTCAATGGGTTGAATGTGAATCACTCAAAAAAGGAAACAAAAGTCTTGGTTTCAAATCTTTGGACAGAGATTTATGATGATTTTCTTAACGCAAAATGTGCAGCAACACTTACGAGCATCATCAGTTCATACCTGGGGGACCAGGAGGACCTTGTACTCCAGGGTACCCAAGCCCTTGGCTCCCCTTTGCCCCATTTCGTCCTGGTAGGCCTGCAGAGTGTCAGAGAGGGGAGTAAGCTTACTTTTCCCATAAAATCACTTCCTCCTAGATTGTTTCTTTCAAAGCTGTTAATACACACATTAAAAGAAAAATAAATCTTTAAAAATTAGCCAGCCACCTATTTATTATTATTAACAGGACACAGAATTTTTGAAGCCAAACTTTATAAAATGATCAGTGGTCTAGAAAAACTTAATGAAGATTAAATATTAAGAAAGGAAAATGGTTTGGAATTATTAGCTCTTTTTGTTACTCATAGTTCTTTTATTACTTTGATGAAACATCTAAATTGTTCCTATAATATTAAATTAAAAGGAAAGAATTATCAACCAACATTTCATATAAATATTCAAAAACAAAGAGCAGTAAGTTGTGGGCTATTAGGAAGTTTGGTCGCAAAACATTATTTTTCTTATAGAAATTTATAGAAAACAATTTTGAATATGGTTACAGAAGTTACCAAAGTCAAAATAAAGGAAATGGTGTCTGTGATGTTCTATTTAAAGACCTAATTAGACTCAAGCAAAATTTCTAAGTACATTGTCAACATTTTCTGATTTACAGGTTCACATGCTTCATAACACTGACCTCTCTCTTGACTTTAGGATATTCTTTCATGAAATAGAATGACTGTTCTTTAACTCAGTTGACAAATTATTTAAAGACTTAGGGATAGAAAAATTTTTTATCTTCAAGAAAACAAACAGGAACACTTGCCTGTTAAATAAGTTTAGGATGTGCATACAAAAAATACCCTTTTCTGTTGTTTATTTGCTTACACATACAAACTAAGTACCTTTTAATCCTTTGGCACCTGGGCGTCCCGGAGCTCCCATTAATCCAGGAACACCATCTCTTCCTGGCAAACCAGGGAATCCTCGGGGACCTTCTGGGCCCATGGGACCAGGTGGCCCAGGAATACCAGGGGAGCCGTGCTGGGACTGGCAGTGATCACAACTCTGAATTCTTCCACTTTGAAGTAAGACAGGTAGCTGGGCTTAAAAGCAAAGAAACCCCATCCCTTATGTTTAAATGGTGAATGGGCATTAATAATATCACTCATATTTTTTCTAAATTTACAGATGCATATCTCTCGGCCAATAATTTCACTTCTAGAAATTTAACTATGGAAATATCCATTGCTCTGTGCAATAATTTTATTGTGGCAATTGCTTCAAGTAAGGGAAAAAAGGAAGTGCCCCTCTAAAAGAAACTGGTAAATTAAATTACAGACATCATATTATGACTAAAATTACCAGAATTATGTCAGGGAAGAAAATTTAATCAATGGTGAAATAATGATAAATTGCTTTGTTAAAAAGATTACAAGGGGTACATATAATATTTTACCTTTATAAAAATACTTATCTAGAAAAAAGAACCAGAGGTTGATAAATGTCCTTTATTTTCTTCATCTTACTTACATCTTTTATAATTTCTATAAAGAATTTGTATTGCTTTTGAAATTTGAAAGTTATTAAAATCTCTATGTTGGAGACTTACCTCTTAATACGTCAGTGCAGACTTGTCGAATAAACTGTTCTGAAAATTCTCTCCCCTGCATCAAATTATTAAGGGTTATAACATTGACATACCAAGTAAAAAGCAACAGAAATATGAAAACTGTGAAAGAAGCAGAATACATACGGGCTTCCCATCCAGTCCTGGGGGTCCCTGAGGACCTGCTTCCCCGGGTTGCCCCTGGGGACCTGTAGGCCCCATCAGACCATTCACTCCAGATTCTCCTTTGGGTCCAGTGGCACCTCTGGCACCAGGCTCTCCCTTTTCACCTCTCTAAAAACAAAAGAAATCTTCAAAAGTTCTATTTAAATATTTCAGGAGGTATAAATGCATCATAAAAGTCTTAAGGATATGGATATGAAGTTATATATATATATCTAAGTTATACAGGAAACTGTTGGGAAACACTGTAATTGATCAGGAAGGAAATTTCATATTATATTAAACTGTCATTTATCCATCCATCCAACCCTACAAATAACCACTAACTAGTACCTATATTGATTAAGCAATATGCATAGTGCCAGAGATACAATGATGAATGTGACACAGTCTTGTCCCCAAGGAGTTTAAATCCTAGAGAGATAGATGTAGAAATACACAATATTCTTCACTGAGAAACATGCAGAAAAACTTAGCTCCTAATTTAGAAGAAGAATCAATATTACTGGCAAATATGTAACATTTCATACCTAATTCGGTGAATCTACATATTCTGAAAATCTCTATTTAGGAACTACTAAAGAACATGAAAGATATTTTCTGTTTGTGATGTCAATAGCTAGATTTATACAGTATTAAAAATCAAGCCATGAGGACTGAACAGACAGCATAATACATGAAGAAACATACCTCTCCTTTTGTACCAAGATGGCCTTGAATTCCCTTTGAAAATTAATAGGGAAAAAATAAATAAATAAGTAAATGTGCAAGCTACAGTACTAGCAATGTGGCATGCATCCTTTACCACACATTTAATCAAACTTTAATTTTCAGTTTGGATCTATGTTCATCGGTGATATTGGCCTGTAGTTTTCTTTCTTTGTAACAGCTTTATCTGGTTTTGGTATCAGGGTGATGGTGGCCTCGTGGAGTGAGTTTGGGAGTGTTCCTCCCTCTGCTATATTTGTAGTGAGGTGGATGGACCTAGAGTCTGTATACACAGTGAAGTCAGAAAGAGAAAAACAAATACCGTATGCTAACACATATATATGGAATCTAAAAAAAAAAAAGGTCATGAAGAACCTAGGGGCAAGACAGGAATTAAGACACAGACCTACTAGAGAATGGACTTGAGGATATGGGGAGGGGGTAGTGTAAGCTGGGACAAAGTGAGAGAGTGGCATGGACATATATACACTACCAAATGTAAAACCGATAGCTAGTGGGAAGCAGACGCATAGCACAGGGAGACCAGCTCGGTGCTTTGTGACCACCTAGAGGGGTGGTATAGGGAGGGGGGAGGGAGGGAGACACAGGGGGGAAGAGATATGGGAACATATGTATATGTATAGCTGATTCACTTTGTTATAAAGCAGAAACTAACACACCATTGTAAAGCAATTATACTCCAATAAAGATGTATTAAAAAAATCAGTCAGCAAGTAAAACACTCTCTGTAAGGCCATTCTTTAAATATGGAAGTTTCTGAAGAAATGCAGGGGTTTCTACCAGACAGAATATTACAAATGGAGCCAGAGTAAGAGGAAAGATAAAATAGTAAGCTCTCTGGACTAGAACCAAACTAGAACTAAAACTGAAAACAGCTGTCATCTGAGAATCCACTAAGATGATTTCATGAGGGAAACATTCACTTGGACCCCATTCATAACGTGAACGCCAGAAAAATCACACATGTGCAGCCCTTGGTAGGATGACAGTTAACTAGGACTTTGTTTATACTTTGAGAGATTGGGACAACTATTCAGCTGCTGAGAGGCAATGGCTGTCCTGCTCCCCCCCCACCCCGCCCCCTGCCATTCTCCCTGTAGACTCAGTTCCTGGTGGTGGAAAATGCAGCTTCCAACACGCCCAGGACAGAAGCTTTCTAGGGAACCCAAATTCTGCCTTGGGGGAGCAGACTTCCTCTTTTCCTTGAGAAGTGAGATAAAAAAAAAAACAAGTTAGGGGAAACATGCAGAGAGTGTCATCTGTCAACCAGTGAGCTAACCAAGTTGTGAACTCAAAATCCAAAGAAAATATCCTTCTATCAGAGAGTTACTGTGAATAACACTTTGGGGTAAAAGGCCTGGGTTGTGGAGGGTGATGGATGAAGGGGTGAGGGTCCTCCTACGAGTAGAGCTGTTTAAAGATGCTGTGTGATTAACTCAGGGAAACAGCGCAGGTCAGAGGGGAATAGGGACAGAGCTGGTTGTCATCCAGTGGTGTGAGTGGAGTGAAGGGACAGGAAAATGAAGACCTTTTGTATTGCACATAACTGTACGCAGGCAAACTCTGTCCATTTCTCCTTTCAGTGACTCTTGCTCTGAAGTTCACTTCTAAGTTCTCAACTTTTTGACATGTAACACTCACCCTCCATCTTAGACAACCTTAGGGCATGTACTTTCAAAGATTGCCCCCCACACCAATGGTCTCCCCCATTCCTCCAAGTGAGGGACCCAGAGACCCCTGTCCTTGGAGACATCACCTCACAGTTTTATCCCCCTACCTCCAGAGTCAGTGTAATCACTGAATCTTTCTCCCACCCACACTCCCTAATCAGTTGGATGCTTTTTTTTTTTTCTTTTTTTTGTGGTACGCGGGCCTCCCACTGCTGTGACCTCTCCCGTTGCGGAGCACAGGCTCCGGATGCGCAGGCTCAGCAGCCATGGCTCATGGGCCCAGCCGCTCCGCGGCATGTGGGATCTGCCTGGACCGGGGCACGAACCCGTGTCCCCTGCATCGTCAGGCAGACTCTCAACCACTGCGCCACCAGGGAAGCCCAGCTGGATGCTTTTATTTGTCCAATATGGCTCTGACTGAACCTACATGCCACTTGGCAATCTCACCGAAACATGGCTTCATGAGGAGAGTTTAGTCAAGGAAGAAGCAAGGCAATCTTATTATGTATCGACTGCACAACACAGTTCCTCAAGATGGCATTTTAATTCACCTCTAGTGTAATAAATTATATCTTTGAACAAACTAGAGGGAAACAAGGACATTCCTTCACTATGTATGGCCTCAACTACTCACATTTCAAGAAGAAAATCAAAACTCAACAGTAGGTACACAGATGCTGCCATGTATGGCTGCCATGGGCCAATACTACTCCAAGAAATGGGTGGAACTGTCTACCTTTAGTCATTTATTTGGTCAGAAGAAAGCATTGAAAATCAAGTTTCACAGCCACTGAGAGTATCAGCATGGGAAAATGAAAATATAAATCAAAAGATTAAAGTTGTGATCACCATCACCACTAGAATTCTCATCCTTGGGCACTTAGAATGCAGGCTACATCTCCCCTTCTCCCCACCCATTTTTATTTGCAAGTAACCCTCTCTCAGTATTGTTCATTATGTGATTAATTATTTCATTTTCCATAAAAAAAAAAATACCTGTGGCCCTGGAATCCCTGGTCTTCCATTCTCTCCCTTTTGACCCTTTAAAATTGAATAAATGTTATTCATTAGTTTGCACACATATGATGCAATCACATATACAACACAAACTATGTACTGTGCTGTCGTCTAGAAGAAAGGTCACAAGAGCAGTGATGCAAGTACGTAAAATGATGTAAGAGAAGAAAAAAAGAAGTGAGAGGAACGTCAACCTAATCTTACAGCTAAAATGGATAAAGACAAGGAACGAACTACTGACTTTGGGGAACATGTAAATAATGTTAGACAGTTGAGGATGTTCTGCTGAGTCCATGTTCACAGCATGAAAATAATTTAAAAATCCAGTGGCTGTGGTCATTTTCTTAATTTCAATGACATTATTCATGTTTGGTGTTGATTATACACTAAAAATATACTGTAAAATACATTTTGAATGAAGATCTTTAAATTAGGACAAATAGAGAAAAAAATAATAAAGATATAAACACATTTGTCCATTTTGGGACATCCTCCTTGTATAAGACATTGGGCCAGACCCTGAAACTCTATTTCAGCCCTATGTTGAACAGGATAATTAGCAGTTTCTAGCAAAACATACACCTAGATATACAATCAATTAAAGATCTAGTGACTGAAATTGTAAATCACTCCTGCATAGAGGTTTGTTCATTTACTTACTTACATCAATGAATTCCCAGGGGCCCTATTTGCTGTAGGGACACTGTTATAGTGTCCCCATGTTGCCTTCAAGTTGCTTACTGTGTGGTGCAAAAGCTAAGCAATAAATCTCTTTAATAAGCAGTTAAATTCTAAATTTAAAAGTGGTTAAGATACTAAACCTTAACTGTTCTCAACACAAAAACAAACTAACGTGACATGATAATGGTGTTAGCTAACCGTACAGTAGTAATCATATTGCAATATATAAGTTGCACCTTGTACACCTTAAACTTACACAATGGTATATGTTAATTATATCACCTTAAATTTGTACACCTTAAACTCGTACACCTTAAACTTACACCCTAAACTTATACATTATTATATATTAACATTGTGCCCTGTATACCTTAAACTTATACAATGTTATATGTTAATTATATCAATAAAAATATATACAGCTAAATTCTATTGGAATTCTATTAAAAAAAGAATGATAATACTGTCTGATAAGGATGCAGTATATAATTATATATCTGGAACGGATACTATTGGGACATAGGGTGGGGCATCTGATAAAGAGGGTAGGAAAAATGACTCCACCTTGAGTGCAGCCCTCAGGGATGTGTAAGTGGTACCCAACTGGAGAAGACAGGGGGGTGTGGCAGGGAGAGCAGACACAGGACAGAGGTGTATAATTTCTTCCAGCTAAAGCAGCAGGGCAGGAGCAGATAATAGTGGGTAGACTGGCAAAGAGATAAGACTAAAGAAGATTCAGTCCAACAAGGAGGCACTTTATGGGCCGGACTTTATCTTGAAATGCGTGTAGAGCATCACTGAAGGACTCCTAAGCAGCTGTGTAACTTACTTATTGATGCTGGTAAAAGTGTGGGGGGAAGGGGTGGACTGGACTCAAGGAGACCAGTTAGGATATTACAGTCACCCAGGACCCATGACAAGAAATGGTCAGGACAGTGGGATGGGTGGAAGGGGCTTAGTTCAAGTTTCATTGTCTGAAACAGTGTTCAGACTGTGACCTTAGCAGATTTTGATGCTATTATTACCTAAATTTGAAATTTCCTTTTATGCCACCAGATATTCTGGAGCTTTCAAAGTTCTGCGAATTTTGCAAAGTGTTTTACGTAGCAAGACTCAGCCACTATAGCTGAACTTTTTTTTTTTTGGCCACACCGCACAGCATGTGGGGATCTTAGTTCCCGACCAGGGATGAAACCTGTGCTCCCCTGCATTGGGAGCACAGATTCTTAACCACTGGACCAGCAGGGAAGCCCCTATAGCTGAGCTTTGTAATCTTAAAAACATCATTAAAGTACTGTCTGGACACTTGATTTGTAATTGATGGTTGAAAAAGTCTTACATTTCTAGAACTTAAAAGACTGAAAGACCGACAGATATAGTTTATTCCTGATCAGTGTGTCACTGATTCAGCCAGCGGCGTCCTACTCATGTGTCAGGGTTCAGTTAATGAAAACACCATCTGAGGGCCACTCGGACTGAGGTGAAACTGTCCTCATCTCCCAAAGCTGTAACATGTTTCTCCTCTTTGCCTTTGTTGCTAAGACACCCAGAACCAAACGTCCTTCTAAATCACCTTAGATTTCCTCAGCCTGATCTAATTTTCTGGTATAATTCTCCTTCTGTTTATTAGTTTGAATATGTTTTACATATGGTGTTAACAGTTTCTTATCAAATTTATTTATGCCATAAGCCATGTCAAATCATTTGTGGAAACCAACACACCATAAAATATGTAAATAAATATATATTACAAGCATGTGATAAAATCCGTATATTATTTTGTTGAATCACTTGGTTCCCAAGTTTCCTACAATAGTGGTGTAGTGACGAATGTTAAAGTTAGATTTGATGCATTTTGAGAAGTTTAGTAAAATGAGAAAGCTGGGATTTAACAGATATTGACGGTAAAACAGGAAGGAGCTGGAAAAGCCATGTAAGAATTAAAAAGAATGAAGCCCTGAGTTTTTTGCCAAGCCAGAAAAAAAAAATAATAAGCCAGTAACATACCTGAATGCCCTTTTCGCCTTGATTTCCTTTGTCCCCCTGCAAAAAGGCCGTTTAATATGTATCATAATGTCATATATTCTGTATCCTTTCAAATAAACATGCTTTTCTTCAGCCAAGAAAAATATATGGTCTCATGCAAATTCGACAAGTGCCTTATAAACAGAAGATGACTCCAACATGATATATGAGAAGAGAGTAAAAACACATTAGGTCAAGATGATGTCTAAATGAATACTTTCTTGTGCTCTTACATTCAAAAGAAAATTTACTACAATTTCTATTTTATAAGGAAGAAGAAAACTTTTCTATATTGATCACAATCTGAAGTTAAACAAAGAGAGGACTTATTTTGACAAGTCTTGTTTTATGAAATCAAACTGAAAAGTCTTCTACTATTAAGCTAATAATGGCCACAAATTTATAGGAAAAAATGAAATAAAACAATGTTGAAATAATATTTTAGAAAACATATGTTTCAAAAATTAACTTTTTTGGGGAAATTCATATTCCATAATATTGTTTCCTGGAATTTCTCAGCTAGAAGAGATGTTTGAAACCAACTAGTTCAGTGTCTTTGTTCTTATAATGTACCCACAGATCAGGAAAGGTAAGCATTTGCCCAAGGTTGAACTTGGACA